TCCGCGGATCATTACGGATCCGCGCATGGATTCTCTTTAAAGCCTCAAAACTCCATCAAATAGTCTGAATCAATTCTTGCTCAAACACAAAAGTTGTAGCCCTTTGAATAAGATTTTCAAAACCATAAGAGTCAAGTAATTGGGAAGTCTGGACATTGAGATGTGTCTAAAATAATGAGACCTGGTCGTAAGAGCATTGCAACGCAATTATATTTCAGTAATTTGGACTTTTGACTATGAAACCGTAAGAAATGGACTTTGATGTCTTCACAAAGGTTGTAGAGTATTCTCTTAGATTCGAATTGAATCAAGAATCATCTCAATCCAATTTGTGTAATGTCAATCTTGCCAAACCCATTCCTCTTGACTTTTTCCTTTTCCATTGTTTTTTCACGCCACGTTTTTACTCCATTTTCTCTCTAATTAGTTTTTCACCTATCAAAATTATATAAGAGCAAAATTAAGTAGTATCTACTCAAGATCAAACTCAAATATCATGGTTAACAAAAACTTATATCTATAAATGCACTACAAGTTACCCCTATCAATTAGATTGGATCCCACCTTTTTTTGGATAAAAATAGATATGGTGTAGGTTAGATTCTACTTTTTTAGAGGTGAAAGTAAAATGAATCATCATTTGTCTAATTACAAATGAGATCTAATTTTTTTGCTCCTGAAAAATGATCATAGGTCGCGTGATGCATTTAAAATAAAAAATGGTCAAAAATCTATGTTGGAACCAACTTTTATCGGCCTAATTTTGTAAGGGATGTAAATTTACTATTACAAAAGTGAAGAACGAAAAAAATTTTTGACAAATTTTAAGAGACGTTTTGAATGATTTTTCCTATTTCTGCAAACGACAATGAGATATATTTTGAATTGATAACTTAATCCGTTGGACTGCTGTTCATTTGTAGTAATATCATCAAAGAATGTATAATTTGGTATTTATTATTTTCGTCACTATGGGGAGACATTTTATATTCTACTTTCATATCTCGAGTTTTACTTCCTTTTTAATTACGTATCTTTGACTTGATATAATGTAAAAGAAGATATTTAGTTTCTAATTAGGTATACATTTCAATTGCATAGATGTACCATGATGTCTTTGAACTATGTTCTTTGCACCTTCAGAGACAATGAATAATACTTCAATGGAAATTTTTATCAGATATTATCCTTGTTCATTCATTTATTCATTTTCATCTGCGAAGCTGAAAGTTACTAAACCAATTTGAGTTACTATACATGGAACTTAAACAATTAATCAAAAGATGCAACTCTTTTAATTTATGCATCAAAACGAGAATTCGAAATATGTTTGGACAGCCAAAGAAGAAATAAATATGGAGCTAATAACTGAAGTACTAAAATGTATCATAAAATTTTTCCAAATAAACAAAGAAAATAATGGAGTAAGACGTAATGGATTATACAATAGTTAATACAAAACTATTTTGCTTTTTTAACCTTTTAGTAAGACATACGAGATCCAGTATGCTACATAGCCACAAAGACATCTCCAGATAATGGAATCGTTCCTCAAGAATATTCAGACAGCTGAAAACGTCATATCCAGCAAAAATGGAAATAGAGTTTAAAGTAGGATATTGGCATTTAATTTGATAATAGAACATGGAATGAATAAGCTAACATTTGAATCTCATACATGAATGCAGCATGTTAGCTTGCAAAGTGATCGCAAAAAAAAAAAAAATTATCTTCATTCCCCTGTAAAGATGTGGAAAAAAAAAGATTTTGGTTATAACGAATCATTTTTCACTTTAAGGAACAAATTTTCAATTTGATAGCAATGGATCCTTCATGTATATGTTACTGGAGTGTATTTACTCCAAAAATCTCTCGATAAATATAAAAAGTCAATTATCATATGACGGGAAATGGAGAAAAGAAAACTGGTTAATTCAACAAAAACTGAACAATTTAGAAATTTATTTTATAACATTCAATTTTGGAGTCCAGAAGAAAGAACATCTGCATGCGGTTATTAGTTTTTGAAGGACATCACCACCTCACTAAGACTTGATGACAGGATTTGATGGTTCAGTTTGAATAAAATTCCTTGAACCATATTGGATAATCAGGGATTCCGAACAATTGAGTATCAAAAATTAATAAAGGAAACAATCTAGTTCTCCATTGGTAATTCTCATTTCCCTAGTCTCTATCATTTTTATCATGGACGTTATTTGGTGTTTCATTTTTCGTCTTAGGCGTATATGACCTGGAAAGAGAAGAAGGAGCTTGAGAATAAGAAGGCTGTTAATTCAGGCAGAAAGGTAAAATTCTTTATGGCGTCAAGAAGAAGAAGAACAGTGAGGAAAAATTACTTCAAGAAATTGAAGGCTGTGACCCAATTAGTCTTAGTATCAGTCTCAATATTTGAGGGTTTTTGGCCCACCTAGTATGAGTTATTGAGTTTTTCTGTACTTCTTATTTTGTGGTTTCCTAGAAAAAAAAAGGAGAAAAGGAAAATTTAATTTACATTCAAATCCCTGTGTTTTCTATCACATAAGCAAACTTTTGTCGGATCCCAAGTGAGGAGACGATCCCTTGCCAAAGTTCGAAGACCTTCCGTCGATTGTTGTTGCAAAGTATCAAAGAGAATTGGCATTTCTACATGGCATGGAATATGGATCAGATTTTTGATGTTACATAATAGAGTAGTGTAGTTTGATTTTTCTTGCATGCTTCTGAATATGGGCATTGCTTTGGCATCGTTTGCCTTCTAAAATTTGATTTAATGCCTAAAGAAATGTAATCAATTTCTGTATTCAGATGATCAAATGCATATCAAGATTCTGCCCGTCGCCTAATGTCAAAATTCATGTGTGGAGAATCTCAAGTTGCATCTTTTGGTCATGGACAATTAGGATTTCTTCCTGGTCCACCATAGAAAAAGAAATCTCCGGCATCATCATTCTTTGCAAGTATTATGTCGTAGCAATTCGACTTAGGAGCTGCAGATGTGATGTCACCAGGAGGGACCAAAGTGTTTGATTGATCAACTACTTGAAGATTCCTAAAGTAACTTGCCGCTCCAGCTTGTTCTTCAGCAAAATGGCCACTGCCCATTTGAGTTGTGGTGTGTTGCCCACCTTGAGCAGTATTTACCACCTCTCCACCCCATTGAATTAGTGAAGCACTGTCCGCTAGGCTTGTAAATATGGAAGCAGGCCAATAACCAATTACACCGTCATTCCCATATTGTAGCCACCACACATTTTGCTTTGGATCCTAACAAAATTTTACCATCATATAAGTTTTTCAAATCACAGAAAAATTTGGCCTATAATATATTGGGATCTTAATCAATTTGTTTGTCATTACCTTAAAGATACATAGGATGATTTCATATTGAGCACCATGATAGGTAGAAACAGGTGAAATGGTGGCACCCAATGCAATTGTTGTATTGGTCTGAACAAAGCCAGGGCAGAACAAGTTGTAGCACCCTACGGATTGATAGCCATCTCTCTGTTACAATGACCAAATTTTGGTAGCAACTTAGATTCGGGCAAGCATATTATATAAACAATTGGATTGATGACATTTTGTGACTTACTGTCCAGAAAGTGAAGAGTCTTGTGTTGTTATCTCCATATAGACTTGGACTTACCTATTATATTAACAACTGAAATAAGTAGGCAACAAAGTACAAGGCACATGCATGGCCAGATATTTTTATTGTTGAAGAACAAATTGAATTGCTGATTGACTATTTATGATAGGGAAGAAGTACCATCCAACCAGCTTCAACGCTGTTCAGAAATGAATTAGCACCTGCAAGAACCCATATTTGAGCCAAGCTAAATTCACCACTGGTCTGAACTTGGGGTTGCCAAACGTTTATAGTTGCCTTTGCTCCGAAATACACGTTATTTTGGACATATGCAACTGCATGCTAAAGAATTGCAGAAAAAAGAAAATGAGAAATCGATAAAATAAGTTAAAAATGGGAAAGATTTAAATAAACCTCAAAAACCTCAAAAATTACCCTCTTGTAAAAAGAATTTACTTGTACAAAGTTGCCAACACTACATATATATATAAGTCGTTCTTCTCCAAATGCTCTTGTTTTGCGTGATGCGAATGGAATTTCTGGTTAGGAAGAAGATTCTCGTGAGGTTAATTGCATAGGGGGGAAAATGTGATCATAGCACGAGTGCTATCAGGGCAGCTGGTCGTATGAAATGGTGTCCTTGCACCTTTGGTGATCGATCGTTATAATGAATTGGGATAAAGAAGTTTTTTTTTTTTTTTTTTTTCACATAGCACGGGCCTGAATCTTGTGCAATACATGAATTTTAAATTTTGTAAGTTTGTTATGTGCCTCTTTATACTCCTCAATATATCTGTTCTTGTATACCTGAATTTGCGCCAGGGATGCATTTGGTTGAATGCAGGCTACCATTTAGTTAGCGATTTTGATGCACAACAGTAAAGGCAGTCATAGGAGGGCATCCTTTGTAGACGAGATCAACGTAGTGTGCCCTGCCGATGTTCTTGGGCGTGCGCTTAAACCTATGTAAACATGCATGTGTGTGTCGCGCGTGAACACAGTATATATAAACCTATGTAAACATGGGTGTGTGTTGCTACAAAATTCTAGCAAAAGAAAAAAAAAAAGCACTATATGTAGATGTTTCAAGTGATTCTGCCATGCATATCAACACTTAAAAATTTGTACAATAAGTGGTTAAGTTTAGTCCCATTATCTACACAAGAAATTTCCAATTGTTTATGGTACCTCGTGAGTAGAAGGGTCATCAAGCTGGGAAAAGCTTTTGTGCTTCTTCTTTGCATATCTCTTGAAATTTCTTGCTTTCTGGTTCCTTGTAATAGGAATAGTTCCTTCAGGGCATTCCCCACTCAGCTGCCATAACTGAGCAAATGTTTTTTCATCCTCTTGGCCATGAGCATTGGATTTGAACAGTTCACCCTCACCAATTGGTCCTTTCTGAGGGTGCAAACTAGGCCTCATCTGCAATGTGCAAAAATACATAAAATTTTTATTTTTCATTACTTACACAATTATGTGTACAAATTTGAATATACACATGCACTTGTAGAGATTTTTCCCCTTGCTTTTGGGTGGGATCGAAAGTCTCACCAAAATGGTATGATTTTTGAGCAAAGGATGATCAAACGCTGGTTGATGATAAATGTTGATACAATCAATAATATCACCATCAGGGCTCTGCCATTCAAAACAATCATGCACCAGTTAGTCATGTACGTGAGTCCTAAAAGTGTGGACGGCATACTTTACTTTTCAATTAGTAATGTAAGAAAGTAGAGCAAAACTAGCAGGAATAACCTTGATGGACTTGACAGGGATCTTGTTTGAACGGCTAAACGTTTTCCTGAACTGAATCTTCTTGCTGGAGGCATCGCATAAATTCATCATGTATAATAAAACGAAGAAATAAATTCGCTTCATTTTCTTCTCACTTCTAAAATACCAATGCAAAATTGATTCACAGGTTGGTGGTATGTATTTGATTTCATTACAAGGTGAATTTAAAAGCTTTTAAAGTATTTAATTTGTTGGATTGTCGCTCAATCAGAAAAATTAATGTGTATACAATTTATGTCTGAAATATATGACTCAAAAATAGAAATTTCTATATTATTATTTAGTAGTGTTTTAGTCAAGTTATGATTTTAGTAATGACTCAAAAATAGAAATTTCTATATTATTATTTTGTAGTGTTTTATTCAAGTTATGATTTTAGTAATTTTATTTGAGTCCTGTTACGGTAGTTTTACTACATAGGAGTTAGTATTTTATTAGAAAATTTCTTGTAGTTGCAAGACTTATTTTTTGTGGAATTTTTCGGGTTTACAATTACTATTTAGTTTCTCATTTGGTATACAATTCAATTGTATAGATATACCATGTTGTCTTTGAACTATGCTCTTTGCACCTTTAGATATAACTATTATCTTTTGTTAAGACATAAAAGATCCATTTCCACATACAACAAAGAAATATATTTTGAATCGATAACTTAATCTGTTGGACCGTTGTTCAATTGTAGTAATTCCATCAAAACATGTACAATTTTCTATTTTTTATTTTCCTCACTATGGTAAGACATTTCTTATTCTACTTTCATATCTCGACTTTTACTTTCTTTCTAAAGTAAATAGGACCTAAGGCCTTGTCCTTTTTTAATTACGTATCTTTGACTTTATGTAATGTAAAAGAAGATTTTGGTTTCTAATTTGTTATAAATTTCAATTGCATAGATATCCCATGTTGTATTTGGACTATGTTCTTTGCACCTTTAGAGAAAATGAATAATACTTCAATGGAAATTTTTGCCAGATATCATCTTTGTTCATTTGTTTATTCTTTTTCATCTGGGCAGATGAAAGTTAATTAACCAATTTGAGTTACTATATATACATGAACTTAAACAATTAGTCAAAAGATGCAGCTCTTTTAATTTATACATCAAAACAAGAATTCAAAACATGTGTGGACAGCCAAAGGATAAATAAATATATAGCAAATAAATTGAAATACTAAAACTTAACATAAAATTTTTTCAAATAAACAAAGATTATAATGGGGTGAGACTTAATTTACAATGGTTGCTTAATAGAAAACCTTTGAGCAAGACATATGAGAGGCCAGTATACTACATAGCCACAATGACATCTCCAGATAATAATGGATTCGTTCCTCAAGAAAATTCAGACAGCCAAAAAAGTCATACCCATCAAAAGAGGAAATAAAGTTTAAAGAATGAATAAGATAACATTTGAATTTCATAAATGAGTGCAGCATGTTAGGTTGCAACGTGATCTAAAAAAAAAAATTATCTTGGTTCCCTTGCAAAGATGGAAAAATTTTTCTCTTCAAGAAAGAAATTTTCAATTTGATTGCACTATGTTACTGGACTGTATTGCTCCAATAATCTCTCGATAAATATAAAAATTTGTTTGGAAAGTTGAAAAATCAAATCATCATATGACCGGATTTGTAGAAAAAAAATGGTTAATAGGAATTTATTTTACCAGATTCGATTTTTAAGTCCAGAAGAAAGAACATCTACATCTGGTTAAATGCTTGAAGAGATTGGTTGTTGGTTTACAGATTCATTATTTTTAGTGTATAGGGTTATTATCACATTACCCCCTTAACGTTTGATATAACTATCAATTTCTCCCTTAATGTTATCTTTTAGTCACTTTACCCTCAAAACTAACGGTCAAACTTAACAGAGTTTGTTAATTAAAGTAAAAAGACAAGTTTAGCCTTTAAAGTTATTATCACTTTACCCCCATAAACTATAGTTTCATTGTCAATTTACCCCATAGAGTTATTTTTTAGACAATTTATCTCACCATTAAACTAACTTAGCAAGTTAAAAACCTTAGAAGAAAGTACCCTCCTCTTTGTATAATAAAAATAATAAAAAATTTAGAGTGGCTCTTTTCCTCTTTAGTATCAAAAAAAAAAGTCAAAGTATTAATTTCTTTCTTCTTGACAATCTTATTAGTAAATAATGTTAGAATTAAAGCGATTATATCACTATAATTTAAAGGAATAAAGTAATAATAACAATATAGTAATGCTATAGAACAAAAGGGTATTTTTATTCAAAATTTTTTAACATGTTGAGTTGAATTACTAATGGGGGTGAAGTGACTAAAAGATAACGTTAGGAAGTAAACCCTAGTGTATATGAATTGTAACTTTCTTTACCATTGATACTAACTCCTAGACCTTTTAGAGTTAGATGCCATCCACCTGGTTGACTTGTTCTTCTTAATTTTCAAAATCTTAAAATTCTTGTAAATAGACTTGTATGATTTTTACAATCTGCACTGTGGTATAAAAGGAAACAATTTTTACCCCAACGCATCACATTCTATTGGCTAATCACCTCTATAAATTGTATTCAAACTGCTGTAAGTCTGTATAGCAAGCCAAGTGAAAAAATCCAGGTCCAGAAGAAAAGATCAATTTCTTTCTTCACCATTCTTACTTTGAAGGCAAACTCAAGTATGGCTAATTCATCAGGACTCCTCAAACTAGGGACTCTTGTAATGTTCGTATCCATGCTTATCATGAGTTTCTCCCATGGAGGGCAAACACAAATCTCCTGTGACACTGTTGACAACGACCTGTTTCCATGCCTTAGCTTCGTCCTGATTGGAGGTAAAGTTGCACCTGCTTGCTGCAGTGGGATTAAGACTCTACTCAGCCTGGCTAAGACTAAAACTGATCGCCAGAGTGTTTGTTCTTGCTTGAAATCTGTTGCTCAGAGTGCTACTGATGGTCAGCTCAAGAATGCTGCACAAATCCCTCATCTGTGTGGTGTTAATCTCCCATACAATATTTCTCGCAACATCGACTGCACAAAGTAATGTTCTATCTTGCACACTCTTTAATCTCTATATTTTTCATTATAATCACTAGTGTTCTAGGCATACAATTCTACTGTAATGAAATTTTCGGAAAAAAAAAACTTTCAATTGAACAAGATGACGAAAAAAACATAAAGAAGAAATTACAAAAAAGTGTGGAAGGTTTTATAGAGCATGGGTACTTATCGGAGGATGAAACTTTCCACGATGGCAATTTTTGTAGATACAAATGGTATTCATTGAATAAGTTTAGGCAGTGTATACCAACTTTGCAGTTCTAAAGTGTTTCAGAAAATGTTAGAAACGTAGAATTGGATATGTACTAGGGATAAATCGTCTTCATCTTGGAAATGTGTTTTTCTTTTGATATATGGGAAGCAATCCACCTTTTCTTTTAGTAAATTTTAAGGATTATAGTCTTCATAAATGAATGCAGCCAGCGCTTCTAATATCAGGGGCAAAAAATTATCACGTATATATCATTCACTAATCAATACAATTTAAACATCTTTACAATTTGGTGGGGAAACTGACGAACTTTCAAGTGGTACTTATTTGAAAACTTTCTAAAGTCTTGGGGGGACGATCGACTGCAGCCCTTCCTAGTTATCTCGTTGAATGCTTCCTGAGGAGGATTGATTTGTATATTGAGTTTTACAATGTTTTCTAATTAAATACATAATGTGCCTAACTGCAAAATTGCATTGCAGGGTGGGGTGAGGTGAGCTTGACGGACAATTGAGATGCGTTGCATCACTTTGCAATCTTGAATGGATTGTAAAAATTTATCAAATGCCTAATCCATGATGTCCAGTATCATTATTAATACCAGTGAAGGAATATGCTAAATGTTATGTATTATGTTGTCTCAAACATATATGTATGAATTCATATATATATATATATATATGGAAAGAAAGTTACTCATCACTTAACATAATATTGTTTACATATTGATTATGGGAAATATTCACATTTATGATATGTCTATATATGCCATATTTTCTGGAGACCCTTGGCTTGTTCATGGGGATGAGATAGCCAAGAAAGGATAAAAAGACAATATACAGCTTAGATTAGCCAATAAATTGTTCACACATTTGATTAATTGGAATCCCAAATTAAGACTTTATTAATGGACAAGCCATATAATGAATACTATCTGTAGACACTAAATTTTTACCATTTTTTGGTTCATTTTTAGTTAAATTTTTTTTTTCATTTCTATTTCTTGATAAAAATCACTCTTTCTAGAAAAAACGAAAAAAAGAAAAGAAAAGGAAAGAAAAGAAAAGTAGAAAAATAAATCAAACAAAAATCCAATTAGCAAAAAAAAAAAAAAAAAAAAAAAGGGCTCCTCCTCACGTACGCGTGTAGTGTAGCTCACGCGCGCTGGATGTTCAAGCCTGGTACAGGCCTCGAACCAGAACCATCAAATAACAGTACAAGAGTTGGCCAAAGATTTTGAGCAATTTTTTTGACCCTTTTTGCTCCAAATTTCGTTGCCTTACACGTTCACAAAAGTACAAGGCATCTTATCTTGGGTTTTGACACCTGGAAGTTGGATCAAATGGCTTCAAAAATGCCACCAAGACTCAGTTCATCTACATCATTGATCCTAGGTTTTGGGGGTGGATTTTGTGACTATAAAAGGCTCCAAAATGCAAGAAAGGACAACAAGAGAGCATGGGGCGGCGGAGAGATCAAAGGGAAAAAAAAAACAGCAAAAAAGGAGAGAAAATCAAGGGAGAAAAAAAAGTGCAGAAAATTACGATGAGAAACTTGAGAGCTGTCAAATTTTCTACCAAAATTCGACCCGAGTCTAAGTCTTTTAGGCATTCTTTTGTCATCTGCACTGTCTACACTTGTAGTAGGGTAACCTTTGTTAAGAAAAATTCTCCAAAAAACATCTCCAGTAACCCCAAATTTCAGCTCCAAGTCCGGCCGTCACAGCTCCGAGTCCGCCCTCAGACTTTTGCTTAATTACACTATGGCCCAAAATCTGGGAAAATTAATCAATTTTGCCCCCTTCTAACTTTAATCATCTTTTTCATATTTTAGTGGTTTATTGGGTAGGTTATTTCTGTGATTTGGTGTGTAATTAAACCTTAATTTGTTTTAGTTGATTTATTATCTTGTTGGGTTTTGGTAAAATAGTTAGCCATTTGGGTTATGGTTTGATTTGGTTGGGTTTTGGTAGAAAAGTCTGGTTCAATTTTGGCTTTTGGCTTGGGCTTAGGAAGTAAAAGCCCATCCTTTGTAGTTGGTTTTGTTTGGGTTAGATTATGCATTGGCCTATGCATTTTTCTTGAACTTTTCTCTGGGCTTGGAAGGTTTCGGCCCGAAAAATAAGAGATATGGCCCAGAGACGTGTTTGCCCAAGTAATCTGGTAACATAAATTTCAAGTTAGTCCCTATACTTTCCAGTAATTATACTATGGTTCTAAAAACTTTAGTTTTCTTTCAATTAGGTCTCTAATTTAATTGCACTTTGGTCTCTAAACTTTATATTTTTTAATTTTGACCCCCTAATTTTTATAATAATTATAATTTGATCCAAAAATGTTCTTAATTTTTGCAATTAGGTCCCTAATAGTTTTGATTTCTTAAATATAAGTTACTTTGCTTCTTTAATTGTTGATTATACTTCATTTAAGTGCTTTAATTGCTAGATTGCATGATTATTTCCATTTCTTTATAATTAAATTGGTGCCTTGATCATTTTGTTGATTTTGAAACATAAGTAGGACAAATTTCACCCCTATTTAACCACCACTTCAAGGGAGGTAACCTTTTTTTTATTATTTTAAATTCTTTTATGTGTTTCAATGTATTTTTTTATGTGTAATTGCATGTTTTGAGTGCTTTTTTTCTTTTAATTATTCATTTTTATTTATTTTAAGTTTCATTTGTTTTATCTAATTTTGATGATCATTTGAGAGGTTTTATAATGCCAAGTTGTAATAGATAGGTGTTCAAGACATGTATTTAGCTAGCCTATGTAATAGATAGGTTTTATTTTTTGTTCAAAATGTATTTAGTTAGATAAATGTAATAGTTAGGTTATTATTTTTAAAATTTTCCCTTAGATTGTTGTTTGGGCCCTGAATGTAATAGTTAGACTCTTATTTGCGTTTATTTGCTTAGGTGCTTGAATGCTTGTATGCTTATGTGTTTACTTGTTTTCATTAGGGTTTTGCATTTAGAAATTATGCTTATATGTTATGTGTTCTATGTATATTATGTGTTTACTTGCTGTAATTATGTTTTATATGATTTACTCAGTTATAATAAATGCATGATGTCATCACACTAGTCCAACGCTAGTTGTGGGCATTCTCGCTGATTTCTCACTAGTCCAATGCTAGTGAAGACTTGGAGAAATGAGCTAGTCCAATGCTAAACCCTTTAGACCGTCCACGCGTTAGAATCACATACTTGCGTGACAATCACTACATTGCATGCATATTTTCTATTTTTAGGATCTTTACCGTTTTGCATGATATTTCCTCTATATGTATATCCCTTACCCCTATGTGTGCAAAACATGACATTTAGACTTGCATTCCATTTAGGGAATTAGATATAGGTTAGTTCATTTGCTTGACTAGGATAGGGGAGTACCCTTCAAATATGGGAAATGGACGAGTATAGCTTCTTAGCTTTAGCACACTCGTATCTCCTCTATAAAAAGGAAAATTGAGTCGCGAATCTTAGTCCCCCGTACCTGTTATGTGGCATGCCTCTTTTTAGGTCACATATATTTATATATTATAATTTTTTCTTTTCTTCGAGTCTCAGTCTTTGCATATTCGTGACCTCTTCTAAAAATTATTTTGGGCATCACAATTAATGTGATTTGCACCAATTAAACTTTGAAGAGGATTAAACTTTGAAGAGATATTTCGACCCTCCGATATCCATTAGATCTAGGTTTGCATCTATATAGTAACATCAAAATGTGATAAGTTTTATTGGTTAAATTAAGAAAATTTTCGACTAAATCATGCAACTAGCCTTGGTTAGATTAAAAGGATACCTTGAATTTTATTCTTGTCTTCCCTTTCTTCAACCGTGACCTGAGCCCTTTTTTCTTATGTTTTGAAGATTTAAAATCGTTTAAAAAGGGTTTTCTCTATTTTTTTTATTTAAAAATTCATTTTTAGGTGATTTAGTACTCCTTAACTCAATACCAAGTGACGACTCCTATTTTTCTTAAAAACCCTTTTTAGACTATTATGTTGGGCCAAAATCGTCGCACTTTTTAAGTCCCATTTTAGGCCCTTTTTCTTTTGTTTATTCTCTAAAATAAGAAACTCATTTTTCAAATCAATTCATTTTCTAACACCCTAAATACGCATGGATTTTATTTTTTCCAAAAAAATGGGGCGCGACGGTAGTTATTAGGATCTTGATGATTTGAGAATCTAAATTTTGGAGTGGGAAAACATATCCGTTGATCTGCAAATCCATGAGATCTTATTCGATCTATTTTGAGAAATAGAGTACCTAACCCGTATCATATGACCGAGTAAGAGGATAATGTATCCACATATATGTGGGATGGTTTAGAATCAGAAGATTAAAAAGTCAAAAGTACTTGACACCTATAATTTGTTTACAAGATTCATTTGTAGATGTCATGATCCTTTTTAATAAAAAATTTAATTGATATAGAATATGTGTAAAAAAGGGCAATGCTTATAACAATTATCATTAGTTTTGGATTTATTGGTTTTGAATTTTTTTTCTTGCATACTCTTTGCATATTTGTTTATGGCATGACACTTTTTTCTGGGTAAAATCTATATTGAATATTTGATGAATATGTAAAATATAAAAATAAATTAGTGTAACTTATTTTTTAAAAACATAAAATGATGAGAGGGGTGGGGTGGGTACCTGATAATCGAATACCAATTGATATGCAGAGTGAATAAGATTCAGAAAATGACAAAATACGAATCAAGTCCACAAGATGGGTACCTAACCCATGTCCA